GGTCCACTGCTTTTTAATATACAGGGCTATTCAAATTCGTTTCTGTACTTGGGGATCTAGTAAACGATAAGAGATAGAGTGTCGGTTGAATAGTGGCAAAGTTGTGTATTTCAGAGACCTATTCAATGATGTGAAGAAATCGAATATAGCTCTTTTGGTTCTGGAGATATACAGGAAAAACAAAAAAACCCAAATAATTTTTTTGCCTATATCTTCTTTATTCGCAAACATATTGAAAATCTGTCCACAGTTTGCTATTGGCACTTGATGTGGGCTCTCAGAATATATCCATGAATCTCTCATATAGGGTGTCATCTGACTTGGGCCACCCCCATCTTTGAATTTTTAAATACGAACCTGTATTTTTTTTTGTAGTTTTTGGATCGTAGACGTTCACTTCATACTGAGAAATTAAATTAAATTTTATATTTCGGGATGTTTCGGTAATATTCGATTATAATTGTGTGAATTATTCCCTTTTAAATTACGGCCCTGGAAATTGGTTGACTGAGTTGAATAAAAACATAGTATAACTTTCACGTCTCCCTATGTATCGTAGAGTTTTTCGAGAGTTTTTTTTTTCATTTTTAGGTACCTATCCATATTTTTTCCATTACTCTGAGCATTTTCTACAATGAACTTCGAATAAGAAAACCTTTTATGATTATCTAAAATATATTTACATCAAAAATATATTATATGTGTTTTAATAAGCAGAAAAAGAAATGATGGCAATAATAACATCCGAAACGAACACTATAATTGTAATGAAAATTGAAATGAAGTAATTTATATAGGTGCCCAAAAAATTATTGGCGCAATAAATTCGAATTGGAGTCCTTCCATTTAGAGACATTTTTAAACTCAGATTTTCATATTATTTATTGCCCTTAATACACTTATTTGCTGCATTGTTGCGAAATCATTCAAAATCCTCAATCTCGAGTCTTCCATATATTCTATCTCTCTGCCAGCGTAAATCCTATTTTTCAATGTCCCCCATAAAAAATAGTCCATAATAGTAAGATCTGGTGATCTTGCAGACCAACTTATTGTCCCATTATTTGTTTCGAAGTGGAAGGACTCCAATTCCAACATTTATTGCACAATTATTTTTTTTGTGTATATAAATTACTCACTTCATTTCAATTTTCATTATAATTATAGTGTTCGTTTCGGATGTTATTATTGCTACCATTTCTTTTTCTGCTCATCAAAACACATTTTTGTTGTAGATATGTTTCAGATAATCATAAAAGGTTTTCTTATTCGAAGTTCATTGTAGAAAACGCTCAGAGCAATAGAAAAAATATGAATAGGTACCTAAAAATGAAAAAAAAAACTCTCGAAAAACTCTACGATATATAGGGAGACATGAAAGTTGCTATTGTGTTTTTATTCAACTCAGTCAACCAATTTCCAGGGCCGTAATTTAAAAGGGAATAATTCACACAATTATAATCGAATATTACCGAAAAATCCCGAAATATAAAATTTAATTTAATTTCTCAGAATGAAGTGAACGTCTAGTATCCAAAAACTACAACAAAAAATACAGGTTCGTATTCAAAGATTCAAAGATGGGGGTGGCGCAAGTCAGATGACACCCTGTATAAAAGATTCATGTATATATTCTGAGAGCCCACATCAAGTGCCAATAGCAAAATGTAAACAGATTTTCAATATGTCTGCGAATGAAGAAGATATAGGCAAAAAAATAATTTAGGATTTTTTGTTTTTCCTGTATATCTTCAGAACCAAAAGAGCTATATTCGATTTCTTTACATCATTGAATAGGTATCTAAAATACGCAACTTTGCCATAATTTAACCGACACTCTATCTCTTATCGTTTACGAGATCCCCATGTACAGAAACGAATTTGTATATCTAAATGTATATCTGTAAATGTATATCTAAATGATCTTTTCAATCTTGATGTATTTGGTGACATAGTGAGTTTTGTTGACGACACGGTAATTATTTATCATTCGAACACATGAGCTGAATTGAAAACTTCCCTATTATTATTGAATGGTTTGCCCGTAAAACTCTCACGATAAATTCAGATAAGACTTTTTTCTACCTTTCCCACAATATTCCAAAAACAAGACAACAACATAACAATTGTTTTGAATATCTTCTATTCGTCTGCAGATAATATGAAATAAGTTTAATTTGAAAGGGTTATGTTTTTAGGAGTGACCAATTGTTGGGAAAAAAGTGTTTGGCTTTCTACCACTCCATCTTGATACTTTCTTTCCCAAAAATTAGTCACTCCCAAATGTATAAACCTTTCAAATTAAGAAGATTCGTTTTGGCTGGGAATGAATCAAATAGGTGAATGAATTTCATTACGATGTCATCGATGACATAAGTAGATTAAACTTATTTCGTGAGATAAAAATCGTAATTTATGAAAAAATTGTGTTTTTTCTTATAATGTTATCCAAATACTGAAGAGCCTTAAGGCAAGTGTCTCACGGCGAAACATCGATGTCTACCAGTAAGCATGACAGTGAGTGTTTCATGTAAGTGACATTTTTACCTTTCATTTAGTATATTGTGTAGAAATCCTGTGAATGATATCTGATTGAATGTTTGGAATACAAACTGAGTAGAGAAAATTGTTTTCTGTATAATTCAGTGTTCATATAAAAGTGTTTGTTTCGAAAGAATTTTTCTTTCGTGTAATTCAATGTTTATAGGAAAGTAGCTGTTTTAGGAAGGCTTTTTCTTCCAATTTGTGTCTGAAAGTTACTTCTTTGCATGATCTACACATCTATGTATAAAGTTACTCCTTTTAAAATTGATTACTTCCATCCTTTCTTTGGAAGATTCCCACATTTTTCTATATCAAGATGGAGTAGTAGAAAGCTAATAAATAAGTATTGTCAAAGATGGATGCAATGTCATTGATGAATGAATTAAAGAGCAAGGGCCCAGAGTGAGATCTTTGAGGAATTTCAGACGTGATCGTAATTGTTTTTGAAATTAAACTGCCTATTTTGACACTTTGAGTACGGTTTGACGAATAAATCTGAAGCCATTATAAAAGATTTCCATCGATTCCATGAAGTTTGGAAACACCAGAAAGTGATTAACTTTATCAAATGCTTGAGCATAATCCATGTATATAGAATCAACTTGTCATTTGATATCTGAGGCAAACATAATAAATTGATAGGTTGGTGAATGTTGATTTATGCTGTATGAATCAATACTGTTCACAAATAAATATATTTTGAAACTTTCAAGTACAAGCGGGGTGAATGATTGGCTGATTTCGTTCATCAGAAATCGAAACAGCCATAGCCATATTAAAATTGAACTTTCCAAGGGCGAAAAAATTTATTAAGGGGTCCCACAAGGGAGTATACTCGGACCTCTTCTTTTTCTCTTGTACATGAATGACTTGCCTAACTTTATCGAAAGAGATAGGCTGCTTAAAAAGATGGTAGTCGATTGGCGGGAAGTCTGAGGAGTAAGGTGGGTGAAGCAGAACTTCGAAGCTCAATTCAAACGTGTGGACGTTCCGATGGAGCAGGTTCGAACCTCTTCTGTTGACGAGTGACTGCTGTTGCTGACGCAGTTTTCGGTACGTTTCTTCGATTTCCTTACAATAGGATGGTTTGTCCCGATTACAGAAAGTTGTAGTGAACCACAACAGCTGCTGAGCACCATACGGTAACCATGGTATTTTTTGGGTGGGTTTTCTTTGGGGAGTGTCTGGATGACTCGTCGGTGTCCAACCACTTCCCTGAACGTCTTCTGTTGTCGTAGAGGATCCACTTTCCATAACACTTGACAATCCGATTCAAAAAAGGACCGTTTTGGTTGCGCAAAAACGTAAAAGAGGATACCTTGAAACGTGAAAATTTCTTTCTATCATGCAAATCGTGGGGCACTCACTTTGAAAGCTTTTTGACGTTTCCAATACATTTTGAACCATCAAAAACCGCATGAGAGCTGACTCCCACTCTTTCCGCCATCCCATGCACAGTTTGTGAAGGGCCAGTCTCCACCAGGTCCTTGAATCCTCGTCTTAGATTACTCTAGGTGGAACTGTCAATGGCAAGAAGAGAGGAACTGTGGAAAATTGAATCTTGAGGAACACGAATTTTTACCATTATCCTAACTTCTCTCATTAGTGCTATGTATCAAATGACAGAATTTTGAAAATAATTCTGAAGAAAACTGCGTGTGTAAGTTACTACTCCGTTGAAAACGGTCGCATAACCCGAACTGGTGCTCTGGTTCTTGTTCCTGTTGTATCCAACGCATTAGCTCAACGTAGTTGATGCGTTTGATACAATATTAACTGCGTTAAGTTAATTCGTTGGATACCACATTCACTGTGTTGAGTTAATGCACTGGATACAACAGAAACAAGAACCAGATCACCAGCACAGGTATTGCGACCGTTACCATATCACCTTTGAAAACGGTCGCAATACCCGAACTGGTGCTCTGGTTCTTATTCCTGTTGTGTCCAACTCGTTAACTCCACGTAGTTGATGCGTTTGATACAACATTAACTGCGTTGAGTTAATTCGTTGGATACCACATTCACTGTGTTGAGTTAATGCGCTGGATACAACAGAAACAAGAACCAGAGCACCAGCACAGGTATTGCGACCGTTACCATATCACCTTTGAAAACGGTCGCAATACCCGAGCTGGTGCTCTGGTTCCTGTTCCTGTTGTATTCAAAGCATTAACTCAACGCATTTAATGTTGTATCAAAGGCATTGACTACGTTGAGTTAATGCGTTAGATACCACGGAAACAAGAACCAGAGCACCAGGCATAAAAACATGTAGACCACGGCCAGAAAACCCGGAAAATAGCCTACATACAGTTATATCCGGCCGTGAAAGTTTACATTATTCAATTTTTATTTCTCATAATATGTCGATATTGACTTCTTCAAAGGATGAATCAATTAACAACACCATTGGTTGTATTGTTTCAATGATATCTTTCTTCTGTCCATTTCAGATTGGTTTCAAAGGATTTGGCATACCCCAAACTCAGCTGAATACCGTCGCTAAATTCATGTACGATGGAAAACAATATCAACTGAGGCATGGTAGTGTCATTATAGCTGCTATCACTTCTTGCACAAATACTAGTAACCCTAGTGTAATGCTTGGTGCTGGTCTCTTAGCCAAAAATGCAATAGCTGCCGGTCTCAGCGTTTTGCCGTACATTAAAACCAGTTTGTCGCCAGGATCAGGGATTGTTACTTACTATTTGAGAGAATCAGGGGTTATTCCTCCTTTGGAACAGCTCGGGTTCAACATTGTAGGTGAGTAAATATTGGATGATATGAATGAGCATTCTAGAATGTTCATGAAAATCTTTAATGTTTATAAACGGTATTTCAAACACCCTTGAGCCATATGAAGGGTAAATTGTGGCACAGGAATCAATAGCCCAGAGATCTGTCCTCGGTCCTTTGCTAATTTTAATATATATAGATGATCTGGCATATATATCGATTGAAGGCAAATGCACAAGTTTTGCTGACGACACATCTATACTTTGGCATGGAAGAACCACTGACGCACTAAAAATTAGGGTGGAGCACGATTTAAACAAAGATAAACAATGGTGTGATTCCAATTCATTATCATTCAGTAATATGGTCTATCTCTAATTTTTTGGACTCACACAGCCAGAAAAGCATACTTTGCGACTCCCTCGGTACGGAGTTTGTTTCTGGGGGAGCAGCTGTCAAAACTCAATTAGTCAGTTTTTCACAATTCAAAAATCGTCTTCTGCGAACAGATCCTGTTGATAAGAATTCAGGCATATCGTTTATAAATATGGTGAACATTAGTGGCCCCGGTACGGACCCCTGAGGCACCCCAATATAATTCGTCATATGCTCAGAACAACAGTTTTCATCTTCAACATTGTAGACTAATTGTAGACTATCGAAGGCGCATGAAAGATCGAAGAAGATATCGGATACATATAGTCCTGAGTCAATACTATTATAGACATGACCCATGAAATCGCACATAGCATCCTCTATCGACCTTCCCGCACTAAACCATATTGGGCAGAAGAAAGAACTCTGTTCTTGTCCAAAAAATGAACTATTCTGTTGTAATACGTCCGCTAAAAATTTTTGAAAGAACATTTAAGACAGTGACTTGTCTATAGTTTTCCAAGTTGCAGCGATCTGATTTTTGTGTATGGGTATTATCTTTCCCATTTTTAGACACTGCGGAAAAGTACAAGTTTCAAAACTTAGATTAATGAGATGAGCTAAAACGTCGCAGATGGATTCTTCAACAGCTTTCAAAATTTTTACACTTATGTTGTCATCACCAACAATTTTTTTTAATTTGATATGACCTTATTCAACCTCTTCCGATGTTACATAAGTGAAGTAGAAGCTATGATCTACAGTAGTAGTTGATGTACATTGTACTGACTTGTCATTACTGAATTTAGCATTCAATTTCTTGTGTGTTATAGAACTGAAGTGAGCTGCAAAATAGTCTGCAATTTCTTCAGGCTGATCAATTCTTTTGTCTCCTACTTTTAATGATTTCCTATTGGAATGTTTATTTTTTTCTAGTTCTTTATTAACAGTTTGCCAGAGGGTTTTCTGTTTGTTTTCACTGTTCTCTATAATCTCATAGTTATGGTTATTTTTTGCTTCAGTTATCAATTTCTTAAGCTTTTTTTCTTATTACTGTAATTTTGCCATTTGTCATAATCGTTTAGGTTTTTTATCGAGTTGAACATATTTTTTAAAGTTTTACTTTCCTCTTGAATGCTTTTTGTAACCCACCCTTTTAGTTGCACCCCATTTTGCTGTCTCACTCTTTGCAAGCAATTTGATTCAACTGCAAAGTTCAAATTGATAAGAAAATGTTTCATCGCAGTATTAATGTCATGTCCGGATTCATAGACTTCATCAAAGCCGAAATTAAAAATGTGTTGTTTCGTCATACTCAGGTTGTAATCTGTTAAAAAAAAATTCGAATTCCCAGCTTCTACTTACCTTGTCGGAAATATAAGTTGGCCCTGTTTTTATTTTACATCTCGGGTATTGCGACCGTTACCACATCGCCTTAGAAAATGTCTACCGCAGCAGTAGACGAAACGTCGGGAATAAAAATCAGGAGACCACGGCCAGAAAACCCGGAAAATAGCTTTCATACTGCATATTTTGCTGCCAATTACATAGGACTACGAATTTTTAACAAATTCCCAGATATAAAACAACATAAAAATGTAATTTCACTAGTTCGGACTTCCATTGTCTACTATATAAAATGATTGGAAATCCCTGAAACAAGTAAAAAAGAATAATTAAACAAGAATAGTTGAAAATAACAATTATATTAAGCAACAATAAACCTGAAATGAAATGATAGTGAAATAACCTACAAGTAAAAATATAATAATT